TCTGACACAAAGCAAACCCTCAGTCGGTTTAAGCTGGCCCAGAATCCCGGCAAAGTCAGGGCCTCGTCAGCTATGGGAGGAGGTGGCGGGGCTGGGCGTCCAGGCAGGTGGGGCAGAATATAGGCCCAGGGACTTCCGGGTGTCTTGATAAGCGCAAACGCCCACTGCACACTGTACTGTTTTCTAGGCACTGTCAGTGGTGAGGTTTGAATAAGCAAAGAACAAAGCTCCATTTTCACAAATTACCTTGTACTCAGAGGAAAAAAATTAACTCAGCGAGGTATGTACTGTTTATTAACTCCATTTTACAAATGAAGGAAGAAGCAAGCATAGAGAGGTTAAGTAACTTGTCCAAGGTCACACAGCTAGTCAGTAGAGGAGCCAGGATTCGAACCCAGGCAGTCTGGCTCTGCTGTTCATTTCCTTCACGGCTTTACCATACGAGAGAAGCACAGCACTGGAGACCACGCTGAATTCTGCTGGTTTATGAGCTGAATTGAGACACGGCATGAGTGCCAATGACCCTGCAGGGGGACCTCACCCCTGACTAAAGCGAGACCAGATCTTCCAGATGTCAGTAATTCTCAAGCTTTAATGTGCATCCACATTACCTAGGGCATTGTTTGTTTGTTTTTTTTTTCATGCAAATTACTAGTCCTCACCGCCAGAATTCTTATTCAGAAATGTTGGGGTATGAGGGAATTAATATACGATGTTGTCCCCCCATATACACACACTCCAGATACCGAACCAATTTAGAGTAAGAGCAAATGCCACCTTATTTTACTGATAAAGGTGACATTGGAAGACTCAACTTTAGACGTGCATCTGCAGCAGATATTCCTAACACCAGAACCGAGAGTTGGAATTGTTCACCTGTCATAGGAAGTGCTGGGTGACTCACGGCCTCATCAGGAGGGGGGTCTTCCCTACGAAACTTGTAGCATGGGACAACAGCTCAGTCATGGGCTGGCTGTCGGCACGCTGACTCCTGGAAGAGGGAGGGAGGGAGGAAAAGGCAAAATTCCATAAACTTGGTTTTCTCTGAAACTCACCTGTCAGGTGCTACCTTCCATACCCATGGGAAAGAAAAAGGGTTGGTGGCAGAAGCCAGGTAATCCCTCCTTCTAGAAACCAGGGAAGTATGTCTATGGCCATACCACGCTGAACGCACCCAGTCTCATCTGATCTCGGAAGCTAAGCAGGGTCGGGCCTGGTTAGTACTTGGATGGGAAACCAGAGGAGTAGGGAAAAGCTGTTTGCCACTGGTAACTGACTTCTACGTTCAGGCCCAGGAGCGAGTACTCTTAGCAAGAGTCCCACATGCTTCTGAAGCAAAGGGTCCTCAGACCGTACTTGGAGAAGCAAAGTTCTAGAATGGCCTAGTTGTTGCACTGAATGCCCTTCGAAGCAAATCAAGTGCATGAACTCACTCTTTCAGAAACCTACAGGTCAGGTTGGAAAACGATATTTATAAAGAACTCACTTAGTGCTTATAGTTTCAGCTTCTATGCCTGGCACTTAGCATATATGAAGTCATTTAAACATGTGAAGTCACAATAGCTATAAGAGCTAAATATCAAGTCAGAGACAGGTTAAGTAATTTTCTTAAGGCTACACAGCTGGAAAATGGCGGGGCTAAAAACTGAATCCAGTCAGTCTGACTCCAGTCTATACTCTTCACTTCTAGCTGTCATGTGCTGTACATGGTGCCCTGCACAGACCTCTTCAGGGGGTGACACATAGAACAGTTAGCTCAGGGGATCCACACGCAAAACTCAACACTGTTTTCTTAACCCTTACAAAATTCCTTACCCTTACTACTGTTTTAGTAATTGAAACAGCAGCTAATGAATCCATTTAAAAAAGCAAAATGAAGTCTTAGTAGCTATTTATTATTTTGTTTTTTTCTCAACCAATGGTTATTAAAATGACAACTATGAGGTTGCTAGTTAAGGATATATATACATATATATACTTATATATATATCTAATTATATATATATATAATTTCAAAGATGATTGGTATACGTGAAAGGATTATGTGTTACCATCAAAAGAAATGCACTAAGGTGCAAATCAATAAATGAGGAATTTGGATATTATTCTTTGGGGTAACATGACTTACGATTTACCATGCAAGTCATTCCTTTTTTGGAGATGAAGACCTTGAGTTCAAGCCTTATGTGGAGCACCTGAAGCAAAAGATGCTCGCAGGTTCTGCCCTCCTCTCTCTGAAGTTTTCCATGCAGGACGGGCAGGTGCCTGGGTTCCCAGGGCTGAGTGGCAGCTACATGGATGGATGATGGGGGAGAGGGTGGAATGATCTGCAGCTTCAGAAGCATGGGGACACTCACACACAGTGCCATTAGTGGGCTTCCCAGGCAGGAGGGATCTACCCACCAGATGTCATTTATTTAGTAGATATTTATTAAGCACCTACTGTGTGTTAGATACTACATAGTTCTTGTCTTTGGACTAAGGAAGGAAATGGATATTTACAAATGATGTGTGGGTGTGCCTGGATATTACCCAGTTCATCCTTCAAAGCAGCCATCTCCAACCTTTTTGGCACCAGGGACCAGTTTCATGGAAGACAGTTCTTCCACAATGGGAGGGGGAGGGGGCAGGCAGTGCTCAGGCAGTAACACAAGCAGTGGGAGCAGCTGTGAATACAGATGAAGCTTTGCCAGTTCGCCGGCTGCTCACCTCCTGCTGTGCAGCCCCCAGTTCCTAAGTTTCATGAAAGACAATTTTTCCATGGACCAACTGGAGTGGGGGGCACAGTGGAACTCTGTGGCCTCATTCCTGATAGGATAAAGACAGGTACCCGTCCACAGTTTGGGGGTTGGATATCACAGCTTTCACAGGTGTAAGTCAGCTGATGGCAAAAATACTGGTAGGACGTACTAAATAGAGATGTCTTCCATCTAGCGCGGGAATGAAGATAAAGTCGTCACTCAGACTTGGGGTTATTCATAAAAGGCTTCATGCTAGAGATGGCCCTTGGAAGGATTATGGGTGGGCATCGGCAGGGGACAAGGGCAGTTCCTGCCGCTCGGGGAGGACTGTATGAGCAAGACACAAATGAGGACACAGGCAACAAAACTGTGCATTTTGTTTGGCACAAATGAAGTGGGGCTAATAGAGGATTTGTCTGAAGAAGCAGACTAAGGCAAAGTACAATGCAGGAGATGCCACAATGTCAAATTTGGACTTTCAGATATCTGAAGGTGACCTTCCTTGAAATCCAGATGGTCACCCTAAATTCAATGAAGTATTATTCCCCTTTGGTCAGTTCTGAGTGTGACACCCTTTATCATGCCAAAAAACATCGTGATACCAATATGGGGTCCTTAGTAATTACGTTTCATCTCACCCAAGGACTCCACTTCCCCGTTGCACCCCCTCCTTGGCGTGAGGTCGTTAAATGAGGTCTCCCGCTGGACCATAGCTTCAGGACTCCGCACACAGCTTTCCCAGCTAAGGGCATCATGCCTTTCGGATCTGATAGTTTTGCACAAATGTCCTAAGCTTGTTGCATGTGAAATTGATTGGCTCTTGTGCTCCCTGAATTGGTAATATGTTTTTCTGAGGAATTCTACAAGTTTTAGATGTGATCATATACAGTGACGAAGTGGGTGTAGTATTTTTCCCATGCCTCTAATTTATGTATTTGTGCTAGGGTGATGATTTAAATAGGAGCTCGATAAATTGATCAAATAAATTACCCCAAACTCACACACCATCATTTCAGGGAGCTGTCATCATACCAAGGAGGTTCTATATCACCCAGCATGGTGTTCCAAGAGAACTGCTGGGTTTTTTTTTTTTTTAATGTGTTTCTGGGCTTTTATTTGGTCAGAAAGGTCTTTATTTCTCAGGTTGGCCAACATTATAAGGAGTTTAACTCCAGGAGACGTGGGTTAGCTGTGGAAAAGAGTTAATTATTAGTTGCGTGACTTCTGCAAGTTATTTCAACTCTCTAAGCCTCAGTTTCCCTTTTTATAGAATGTTGATGTATAAGATTCCTGCCTCAGACGTTTTTTGTAAGGGTAAGCAATAGTGCCTTGGGGTGGTGGGAAGCATCTGTGTGTCAGACAATGTAGACTCGTGTCCTCACTCCATCACTGGCCGTGCAAATCACTGGTCCTTTGTAAGCCTCAGTTTCCGAGGAGGCTATAAAATGGTATTGATGATAATTTCAAGGAATGCATTCTACAGGTGGCATGAGGGAGCAGTCTAAGGGATGCCAGGTGGGTCTGATGCTCCCGGTTGGAAGGGCCAGGGACATCAGCGCCCTGCGAGATTGACTACAAGACTGACTCACCTAAGATGCCAAGATGCACCAGACGCTGTGGCCAACATCAAAGCCCTGTTGCTCTAGACAACACTCCTGCATTGACATGATGTTTGTTGACACAAGATAAATCTATTTTAGAGGAAGCAGTGAGTGTGCGAGCAAAACCCTGTTAAGAAGGTGGGCAAAGGTGGCTGTTCCCTGTGGGCTCCCATCTCATCAGACAGGGGTGATCCCCCCCCTCTGACGTGATGAAACAATCAGTCCATGCCCAGAAAGCCAGTCAATTAATATACCGCAGGCAGCATCAGAATTGGAATACAGGAAGAGTAGTATGTCCGTCAGTAACTATGTGTTCTATGAGTTAAGAAATGAATGAATGAATGAATGAATGAATGAATGAATGAATGATTTTGGACTCTGGCTTTAACACAGATTAACCTTGTAACTTTGGGCAAATTAATTAACTGTTTGGGGGGGCCTCCATTTCTTCTCTGTAAAATGGAGATAATAAAAATGGCTGGCTAATTGTGAGAATTAAGCCTGTTAGTGCGAGTGAAGCTCAGTCAGGGCCTGGCACACAGTAAATGAGAGCTGTTGTCATGATGATTTGCCGTCATTCACATCGTGTGGTCAGTAGTCGCTGATACAGATGGCTTGGCTTCTCCTTTTCAGATGTTTGCGTTCTCTGTACTTACAGGTCAGCAGGTCCTGGGCTTGGTGGAGAACCAGAGTGACTGGTACCTTGGAAACCTGTGGAAGAATCACCGCCCGTGGCCGGCCCTCGGAAGGGGCTACAACACAGGTAAGGAGGGGGCGGTATTTCCTGGGGTTGTGAGGGGTCACTGCTCCTTCCTCAGGGAGAAGAGAGGGCAGAATCTCAGGAGGAGGCCACCTGGTGGCTGAATTTAGCAGTGCAGGCGGTTGGCATTCCAGACTCTTCTTTTTTTTTTTTTTTTTTATTTCGGCATATTATGGGGGAACAGATTTTAAGGTTTCAATAAATGCCCTCCCCCCCCACAAGTCTGAGTTTCCAGCATGACCATCCCCCAGATGGTGCACATCTCACTCCTTATGTATGTATATACCTGCCCCCCTCCCCTCCCCCCTCCCCAATACCCTATTACTGTAGTACCTATGTGTCCACTTAGGTGCTACTCAGTTAATACCAGTTTGCTGGTGAGTATATGTGGTGCTTGTTTTTCCATTCTTGGGATACTTCACTTAATAGTATGGGTTCCAGCTCTAACCAGGAAAATATAAGGTGTGCTATATCACCGTTGTTTCTTAGAGCTGACTCTTCTCAGTGGAGCTGCAGCTACTGGCCGGTCGCTGCTGGGCCTGGGCGGTCTGTGGCGGTCTCACCAGAAAGCCCCTCTCTCGACCTCGAAACCTAGATCCGAGTGGACATCTTTATCAGCATAACCCATCGGTTCCTTGGCCCTGTTGATACAGACTGGAGGTCATCCTGCAGTACCAAACAACCCCAACATTTCAGTTTTTTGCCACAACAGAAATGTATTTTAACACAACAGGCCGCGTCCATTTTAGGTCTACAAGGCCCTGTGGTCACAGTAGGTACTCAGGAATCATCTCGGCCCAAACTTCCATATGTTCAGTGGTAAAGGAGCAAAAGTCATATTGTCTCTGCCGTTCAGAAGTGACACCATCTCTGCTCATGTTTCATTAGCACATTGACTGCCACACTAGGAAAAAAATTTATTTCCTTGGGCCATGGTGTTTTATTATAAAAATATTAATAGAATAGAAACTTCAAAAACAAAATGATCCTTTCTAATTTAAGGAAAAATCTGTTAATTTTTATTGTTTTCTGTGCATGACATATGCTCTCAAGGTAAAGAGTCGTGTGAGTTACATGTTTCACGAGGCCCCAGGCTTGAAACTAGTGTGAGTTAAATACAACTCACATGGCAGTTAATGTGTTAGCTAAAGCATGTCGTGTGGCCATTCCTCCTTCAAGGGTGTGGGCAAGTGCAACCTACCATGTGCCCGGCAGGAGAAAAGGCTGAAATATTTGGTAATCAGCACTTCTGAGCACTACAACCTTCCAACACACCATATGCCTAAAATCAAATCCGTTTTTCTTCCTTGTTACTTGCCCCAAACTTGCTTCTGTCTCTGTTATTAGTGTCATTCATTCATTCATTCATTCATTCATTCAGCCATTCTTATTCACCAGCTGTGTCTTGACTTCTTACTGGGTTTGAGGCCCCATGCTAGGTATGGTGGACACCGTCTGTGACCTCATGGAGTGTGTAAGCAATGAAACTAGAGCAGCTTCCCTCTCCTGGGACTCAATGAAACTAGTCTATCTTATAAATGCCTCCGGATCCTCTTTCTGCGTCCCCGCTCCATCCTCATTGCTGCTGCCTTGGCTCCCTATTCTCAGCGGATGCTGATGCATGACCTTTGTCAGGGCTTAGACTTGGGGCCCAGAGAGCTGTAGGAGGGGTGAGGCAGAGAAGGGCTGGGGCCCGGCATCTGAGACCAGCAGAGGCACTGCGTTGCGGCAGGTGTCTGGGGACACACCTGACAGGGGTGATAGGAGAAGCCTGTCCTGCAGGCTGAGGCCAGTCTACAGTGGGAAGAGCTAAGAAGGCAACTGAGAATTGATGGTCAGACTCCAGAGAGGTCAGATGCAAACCAGGGCCCTAGAGGCCAAAGGAAAAAGAGATGAGTGAAGCTTGCAGAGGTGAGAATTAAGAGATGGGGTGAGAGTGGGGGGTCAAAGCTGGAGGAAAACAAGGAAAGAACGTCCAGCATCAGAGTCCTAAGCAGCCAAAGGTGGCAGCCAGGGAGCCCTGAAGGCGGCACTAGGAGCTGTAGATTCTTCCCCAGCTGATGTTTGCCAGAGCACCAGGCGTGCCTCACTCTGTTATTAATAATTTTTCCCTGTAACACCTACCAGGCATATATAGAAGTTGCATCTGGAGAATTTTAACCACCAGCCCTACATGGACCCAGGGCTCCATCCTGAAAGCTCCCCCACTGCGTTGGGCATTAACCCTTTAGTTGCTGGATGGTGGGGAGGTCTGAGGAGTCCCTGAGGGGGATCGGGGTGGGGAAGGGCAGCTGAGGGGCTCGGGGCTGCTCTTTATTAGCAGGTAGGGAAGCATTTCAGTATTTCCATAACTAGTCAGGTGGTGCCTCTGCATACCAGCTGAGTCTAGGTGCTTTCTCGGTGTTAATCTCAGTTGATCCTCATGCTAACCCCAGGAGACGGGGGCTATGCTTACCTCTCTTCTATGGAAGAGGGAACCGCAGCTTAGAGGGTTTAAGGCTGCAACTCTGACAAGTAAAGGAGCCTGTGGTGTCAACTACTAACTTCCCTTGCTTGAACTTTAATAGTTTCAGGATCAGACACTTTTCAGAAAGGGATAGTTATGGCTCTGCCCTTGAAGATCCTAATTGACAGTGTCTGTGGAAGAGACCAGGATTCTTACCAGTAGGAAGGTTCTAGATGTTTCTTCTGGATCAGGATGTCTAAGGGCCTACCCTCACCGCATGTGGCTCTCTGTTTCCCACCCCAGCAAGCTCCCCCGGGGCACTGTTTCCTCAGTGCATTCGAGGTTGAACCCTTTATGAGCCCACAGCGGGCCTGCAAGAGGGCCCCACATGCTTTTAGTTGGAAAAGGACTTGTCACCCCCACCCCCGTGGGTCTTTTGTGCCTGGATTTCTGGATGTGTTTCCTCTGAGCTTTCACGGAGCTAGAGACACTCATGTTTGTTGGGTGGGAGAAGGGAAGTCCCAGGGAAACCCTGCTGTATAAGTTTAATCTCTGTCTTCCGTGACATATAATAGAAAATGTCACACACCGATATACTGCAGCGCCTCGAGGATGAGGCGTCAAGGTCACGGTTACCTGCATAAAACAAAAACCACTAGTCATCAATCCGGGTTTGCAGGCAGAAGAAGAATGTAGCCCTTTGGGGAATTTACTATGGCGAAGATGGCATGTCCCCTCCAAACCCTCCCTATTTGCTACAGAAGGTTGAGTCAGGAGACACACAAGTGCCTAAACCACCTGCAGCTCCTACTTGATCTGCCAAGGCCTTGAGTTACTTCCCGTCTTGTTGGTACAGAAAGGGCAGAGCCAGATGGGGGGAAATGCCCGTTAGGAGTGATGTGTCCATTTAAATAAGCCCGTGACACCAAGTGATCATTATAAAAGGATTTATGAGGCATCGACATGCATTGGCTTTCACAGTGGGGCTTTGTGGATTTGTTATTTTAAGACCAAGGACTGTGCCACACATCAGCGGATGAGTCACCCAGACATTTAGATCTTCGTGGAAATTGAGGCTGTTGCTGGAAAGAACCTGCCACCCGGAATCCCAGCACGCTCGAGCCTGCAGAAAGGGCTTGTCTAGCAAAGCCCCCGTCGTGAGCCTTGAGCTTGACGTTGGGGAGCCCGGGGGAGCTGGGGTAGAGTCATGTTCGGCCATTTGGTCTCCGTCTGAGCGTGGCCCGTTTGCTACACCTCCTCGGACCTTAGTTCTCTCCCTTTTAAACAGGACAGTGACAGAACCTGGTGTGTGAGGATTAACAGTCAATGAGAAAACTTAAAACAACTGCCTAGCCTGATGTCGGGCAAATAATAAGTGCTCAATAAATCTCAGTCTTTGTCCTCTTGCATTTTTCAGCCTCATACTCTATCAGGGGATGGGATCCTCCTGCTTTAAAAAATGGTGCTTAAGCGATTGAGCAGGGTTTGCTGAGGTCTCCCAAGCCCTCAGGTCAGACAGAACCAGTGAGTTTTCACTTTCCCCCAAAGATGATGCAGGCACCTAGAAGTTTTTCTCACACTGCTCCACTATCTGGAAGAAGTTAGCTTTCCCTATTATTTTAGGGATAAAAATGAGTATTTCAGTTCCTAGATCAGCTGAGTTTTACTTTGAAAATCCCTAGAAAAAGCATGAGATGTCTGAGTTAGGAGATCTGCCTTCAAGACCTGACTCTGTTGCTTGCAAACTCCGTGCCTTCTGGAGAGGTTACCCGAGCTCGGCGAGCCTGGGGTTCCTCACCTGCAAACTGAGAGCGAGAGCTGTACCTCAGAGCCCACGGTGAGGCACTGTTGTGATGGCGTAGCCACGTGTGTGCCGGGGGAACCAGAGCACTGCAGGAACTTGGTTGGAGTTTATTTCTCCTCCTGAACACAGCCCGAGTGCCCGTTTCAGATGATTCAGATTCAGCCCAGGCCTCAAATGCAGCTGCATTCCCTGCACCTGCGAGGCGTCAGGCATGGTACCAGGCACCGCAGCATGCCTGATCTTCGGGAATGCCTAGAACATCTCGGAAAGTGACATTCCCCTTCAGAGAGCCAGCCAGGTTCCCTTTGCCTCAGTGTTATTCTTCTGTCCCAGTCTGCTTTCACCGAGGTTGGGGAAGCCCACCACATCCCATTCTTCCCCCTCTGTCCTTACTGAAGCTGTTAACAACTTAATTCCATCCTAAGGAAGCTACTGAGCCTCAGCAGGTGTGGGTCACCAGGCAGATCCCAGCACAAATCTCTTGCCCATCACTGTTCAGGTGGAATTAAGGACATCTCCCACATCCTGGCGCAGAGATGCGTTAATTCTGATCACTCTGTCCATTCATCATCTGCTTGGGTGCAAAAAGCTGTCATTCACCGAGTATTCAGCTGTCTGCAGGACATGGGGGGGGGAAAACTCATGGGATTTTGACAGCCTCATTAAGATTCCACTCACTTCAGTTCCTAAGATGATGGGTGAATGTCTTAAAAACAAACACCAGCAAAGAAGAGAAGGGGAAGGAGGGCTAAA